ATCACCGAGTACTCATAGTGACCTCTGGTGGTGAGAAATGCAGTCTTCCACTCATCGCCTTCCTTGATTCGGATGAGATTATAAGCGCTGCTCAAGTCTAGCTTGGTGTATATTTTTGCCTCACGAAGTTGCTCCAGGGCAGCAGGAACTAGAGGGAGCGGATAGCGGAATTTCACCATTACGTTGTTAAGTCCACGATAATCAATGCATGGTCGTAAGCCTCCGTCCCTCTTCTCAATGAAGAAGAAACCTGCTGCTGCTGGGGAAGTGGAAGGTCGAATGAAGCCATAGTTAAGAGCCTCTTCAATGTAATCTTCCATGGCTTGAGATTCTTGCCGTGATAGTGGGTAGACTTTACTCTTAGGTGGCATGGCATTGGGCAGACGGTCAATGGTGCAATCCCAGGGGCAGTGAGGTGGTAACGGTGTAGCTTTGGACTTGCTGAACACCTCTAAGTAGTCGTGATAGCCGGTAGGAATTTTGGAACTGGAGTCAGAGACCGGACTCTCAATACTCGTGGCGAGACATGGACTTGGCATGTTGATGTTCATGCAATGGGTGAGGCAGAATTTGGACCAGTGAGTCAGTTCTCCATGATACCATGAGAGTACAGGATCGTGAACAGATAACCATGGATGTCCAAGGATGATTTCATACCTGGGTGAGTCAATGATGTAATGTGAGATGTTTTCGCTATGGAACAGACCAATCTGTAGCTGGACAGGTGCAGTTTGTCTGGTGATACCTCCCTCAATAGGTTTATTGTTGACATCGCTGATGCAAATGGTGGGTACACATTGTAATGTAGGTAGACTGTATCTCTTGACAATATCCTTGTTGATCAGGTTCAGAGCAGCACCGGAGTCAATCAACGCTGTCAAAATAATGGGACCATTCTTAGTAGTCAGCCGAACAGGAATCAAAAACGTTTTTGAACTTAGAGAGAATTGGTTAACACTCACCCAGCTGGTAGTAGTGGTGGATCCCCGGGCTTTGTGTGGGCACTCGACATTGCGGTGGCCGGTTTCTCCACAGTAAAAACACAGATTATGTTGACGGCGTCGAGTCCTCTCTTCACCAGATAAATGTGCGTAACTTATCTGCATGGGCTCTTGGTGGACGGTGGTTGTAGTGAGGAATTTTGAGTGAAGCGGACGAGCAGACTTCGTCTTGGGAGTGTTTCTCAGCAGGTTATCCATCTTGATAGCCATAGTGACAAACTCAGAAAAAGTTAAATCCTCACCCTTGCAGGCCAGTTCTGTCTGAAGCTCGAGGTTTAAACTGTTTAAAAACTTCAAAAGCTTCAGAGAAACATCATTCCATCCACTTTGAGCGGCAAGGGTTCTAAATTCAATGGCGAAGTCTGCAGCGGTACGGTTGCCTTGAGACATGTGTAACAATTGTGTGGAAATATCCTTGCCCCCCTCGGGATATTCAAACACATCTCTGAGTAGTTGTAGGGAATATTCAAAGGATGAATGAAACCGTAAATCTGTCTCCCAAACTGCTGCAGCCCAATCGATCGCTCTACCAGATAATAGTGACATCAGAAAAGTGCATTTACTTGCTTCAGATTGAAACTGATCTCTCTGGCTTTCAACATAAATGCTGGCTTGACGGATAAAACCACAACATTGTCCTGCAGAGCCATCAAACTTGTCTGGCAACGCCAGTCTTACCGTTGGTGGTGTGGTCGAAGGAAGCGATCGAATATAATGTAAAGGCAGAGATACAAACGCTTGGTAAGGCAGGATAAACTGGCAATACTTCGCAAAGCAGTCATGTGGTGGCCAGGTTAATATGGCCACTAAACAGGAAGTGGTTGCAGAGAAAGCAGAGGGAGTGCTAACAGTCAATACTCGGGCGAGGGCTCCCTCTGATGGCTTGGTGTTACAACAACATGTTTATGTGGGAAAATAATTATATATATATGTATGTGTGTGTGTGTGTGTGTGTGTGTGTATATATATATATATATATATATAAAATGGAAATTAAAATAATCTATATTGTTTTTCATTGATGTATTCCAGATACCTGGCCCTTGTTCATCCATTTCGCCTGTTGAGTCTCAGAACCAGATCCAGGACAATCCGTATTAACCTGTTTGTATGGGCGGCCTCCTTCATCATGGTTCTGCCAGCCTGGGTTCATGCTAAAGTGATCCGCTTCAGGGATGGTCTAGAAAGCTGTTCCCTTAACCTGGTCTCTCCCAAAGAAGTGCTCTGGTAATTTGGTTCTGCTTTACTCGTGTATTATATTACCTGCTGCATGGGTCTGATTATCCTTCCTTCTCTCATCCTCTGTTTATTTTTATTGACATAGTCCTGCTTTGAAGTCTGAATTCTATCCTTCGGTTACTCTATTGTTACACAGTCTTCTATTGAAACGGAAAAGAAAATGGCTCACAAACAAATGGCAAATGTTTTTCACAAACCATTTTCAGAATTTAGTTTGAGTACTGCTACAAAGCCTGCAAAGTGAAATAGATTTATTTTCAGCGCAGAACACTAAAAAAAATGTATTTTCTGTTATCTGCTGTGAAAGCTGCCATTCAGCATAGTGGCGCATCATAGGCTTATAGTCACTTAAAAGCAACACAATAAAACCTTAGATTCTGTTTTTTTTTTCTGTCAGTATCTTTTCCCCTTCACCAGAAAATTGCATGTACAGAAGTCTGAGGAATCCAACCTTCTTGTTTAAGTAAAATAAGTGCGAGGAAACATACTGTAGCGAGGGAGATGTGAAGGGTTTAAACATGTGTCCTCATATATCTGTAGGTATACACTCTACCAGACTGTAACCTCCTTCTTCCTGCCATTACCTCTGATTCTCATCTGCTATATACTGATTCTTTGCTACTCCTGGAGAATGTATCGCAAGAACAAAAAGGCTCACAGGTGACTTTACCTTCATTACAGCAACTATGTGATATAAAACGGGCAAACCTGCTCATTTAATTGCTTGTGAAGCCTGTCACTGGCTTGACTGTTCTAGCTACAGTAGGTCTACACTGGTTTCCTTCATTAATGTTTAATTCACCATCCATAAAGAGAATATCTACTGCAAAGTGACTAAGTGAATTTCTTTTATGAAGCTGTCAGATGTGACATCCCTTTCGAGAATTATCCTGCTTATACTGTAGAAATGTTTTAGTTTTAGATTGACAGTGCATACTGATGTAGATTTTATGGGCTAAACCATGAATTTTAAGTAATATCTATTTATATCTCTCCTAGGTTCAATACAATGTTTTCTTAAAAAAACTAAAATGCATATACAGTGGACATAAATGCGACCAATTCACTGTAATTAGCATATTTAGGATTATATATTAGAACTCTGACCCCCGGTTTCACAGACCAGGCTTAAGCCTATCCCAGACTAATATGTAAGTCTGAGCTGTTTCAACTAAAAGAAACTTGCACTGATTGATCTTAGAATATGTCAGTGCCCTTGTTTTGTCTCAAGATGCACACCAGTAATGTTTTTTCAAATGCACGTTTATAAAAATCACTTTGTAAAATATCCTAATTGAACTATGTCCTAATCCTAGTTTAGTCTAAGCCCTGTCTGTGAATCCAGCCCTGAGTGCAATTACCCTAAACTTAGATTTAATGTTTAGGCAACATACTGTATGACCAAATCCTGCATTCCCTACTTTCTCTCAGGTATAACACCAGCCTGCCTCGGGAACGTGTGGTCCGCCTTACTAAAATGGTCCTGGTTCTGGTAGCGGTTTTCCTGGTCAGTGTTGGGCCATACCACGTGTTGCAGCTAGTTAACTTAAGTGTACCACGCCCCTCATTAGCATACCACACCTGCTACTACCTGTCTGTTTGCTTGAGCTACGCCGCCAGCAGCATAAACCCCTTCATCTACATTCTGCTGAGTGGACACTTCCGCCACAGGCTGGTCTGTCGGGATACACCCAGCATGCCGAGTGTGGAACGGGAAATCCAGGCCCCCTGCTCCAGTTTTTAAGCTGAATTCACACTTTAGATTTCAACATACTGTATGACCAAATCCTGCATTCCCTACTTTCTCTCAGGTATAACACCAGCCTGCCTCGGGAACGTGTGGTCCGCCTTACTAAAATGGTCCTGGTTCTGGTAGCGGTTTTCCTGGTCAGTGTTGGGCCATACCACGTGTTGCAGCTAGTTAACTTAAGTGTACCACGCCCCTCATTAGCATACCACACCTGCTACTACCTGTCTGTTTGCTTGAGCTACGCCGCCAGCAGCATAAACCCCTTCATCTACATTCTGCTGAGTGGACACTTCCGCCACAGGCTGGTCTGTCGGGATACACCCAGCATGCCGAGTGTGGAACGGGAAATCCAGGCCCCCTGCTCCAGTTTTTAAGCTGAATTCACACTGAAACACACATAACACTGTAAACGGATAAGTCAATGCACAAGCCTTTGTTGGTCTTCGGCAAAGTGCACTTGTTTTGGAGAAAGATTCTTGTTCCTTGTTTTCAATTCTAATTGTTGGGAGTGAATTTATAAATGAGGCATGAGATGTTTTACATCTGCATGTATGCATGTCTTGCACTTTTTACAGTAGGTCTGTGCTGTAAATGTTGTGCTGTTATTTATTGTTTAATGTGGTGTTTTGGCTCTCTCTACTGCTAAGTTTAAGTAATTCACTCTACATTCTATCATCTATCTATCTATCATTATGCCTATAAACCTTCAAACATTTTTCAACATTTTTAAACAAAGCTTTATTTGCCAACGTTCAAAGTTTGTTTTTACAAACTTCACTTTTCTACCTAAAAATTACATTAAAATGTATTTAGTCTTGACAATTCTATTTCCTTTCATTTCAAATTTGAAGGGCATTTGGCAGTTTCAGGCTGCATTCATTTGTAGTCTGCAGTATTCATCATCTGAGAAAATAAAATATAATAATAATAATAACAATTGTGTTCAGGGCACAGAAGTAGACCACATTGTGGCTTTGTACTATAATAATCGCCCTGTTTTATGGTTTCAAGCTTGACTGTATGTGACATTTAAAAATGTGATATTTTATTATCTTGTGAATGTTATATTGTATTATCAACAGGTTTTGAAGAGAAAAAAAAAATCATACCAGCAATGTGTTTAGTTCCTAAAGATTCTTTTGTGCTGTACAGAATGTATTGAAGCATGTGAGCATGTTTTCACTCATCTTATGTGACTGCATTACCATTGTTACGCACAAGAGAAATCAATATTGCTCGGGACAAAAAGTTGCCGTTGTGCAGAAATCCTTTAAGGGCATTTTGGGATTGTCTGGTGTGAAAGTGCATGTCATGATGAAGTGGCTGGCAGCTCTAAAAAGTGAGGTCACTGAACAGATGGGCAGAGATGCAGGGATCTGTTTGCAGCCCAGCTCCCAGAGCGTAATCAATTCTCTGACCAGACCAGAGACAGACAGGGACCATGTCTGACCTAAAGCATGCCTGGCGGCAATGGCTGGAAACTCACCCCAATGCTCCGTCTCTCTCTCCGTCTCTGTCTCAATTGTACCTTCTATGTAGGGTGACCATACGTGCCATTTTCTCAGGATGCATTTTGATGTCATACACCGATCGGTCTGCACACGCAAACAAAGCCAAAACCTAGATATTTTAGGCAATATAGAAATCCTGGCCAGGACGCGGCAGTTTTCCATCTGACCTCAATCTATCACTTCTGTTTGCCTGTATAAATGTCAGCGTGCTTCCACTCTCAGACTCCGGGAGTAAAACATAATCTTGTTGTCATCTAAGTAGTTTTAACAGCCTCATCAGAGTTTGTTTCCATGCTAATTGAATCTGTGTGGGTGGGCTTTGCTTTAACCTGTTCTCGTTTATCTTGTCGAAACACTTCTGCCGTGGGCATACTGCCATTAGTTGTTTACAGGTTGAGTTCATAGTAAAATTTTGGATAAAGATCTTTTAAATGTACCTTTTTGGATAAAGACCTGCATTTTATTTTGAAATAGATTGAGTTTGTTGGACTGCTATAGCTTTGTATGATGCCGTTTAGGATGTAGATGATCAGATTAACTTTAGAAGCAGGTTAGAAGACAAAGGGCTCAGAAATCACCTGTACTGAACACGAGCCGGGCCACATTAATGGTTTTTGAAACGATTACATGCATTCTAAATGGACATTAACATGCATGTGTTTGAAAACAATAGCGCCCCTCATTGTTTCTCCATTCTTCATTAATGATGTAATTCAGTGCAAAATGATTGACTGCCAAGTTTTTTGAACATCAAAGCTTTTTTTTTATATACAGTATATATATAATTTCCCCCAACCAGAAACCCTATTCAATTAACATGCATTTTGAATCTTTTGCCCAATAAGTTGCTTAATGAATTGTGAGGGGCATTGATGGTGAACAAGGCCTCACGTTAATGTCAGAATTAGACATTTCAAATATTGTGTGTGTGTTGTCCGTTTCGAAACGGGCTGAGATAGTGTATGATACGAGTGAGGTCTCCAGTGCTCTTCATGTCCCGTTAATAACCTGGCCTGCTGTGATGTGGCATTGTGGAGTGAGGTGGTTCTTTCTCTGCATCACTTGTGGCATGTAAATCCGGCCAGCATTTTATCTCTTTACCTGCTCAAGGGCAACTGCATTTGCTCTGGCTGCCTGTATATGCACTCAGTTGTAGCGTGAGTTATGAGATGTCACCTACCCGACAGGCCAGAAACACTTCTGCCATGGGCATACTGCCATTAGTTGTTTACAGGTTGAGTTCATAGTAAAATTTTGGATAAAGATCTTTTAAATTTACCTTTTTGGATAAAGACCTGCATTTTATTTTGAAATAGATTGAGTTTGTTGGACTGCTATAGCTTTGTATGATGCCGTTTAGGATGTAGATGATCAGATTAACTTTAGAAGCAGGTTAGAAGACAAAGGGCTCAGAAATCACCTGTACTGAACACGAGCCGGGCCACATTAATGGTTTTTGAAACGATTACATGCATTCTAAATGGAGGACATTAACATGCATGTGTTTGAAACAATAGCGCCCCTCATTGTTTCTCCATTCTTCATTAATGATGTAATTCAGTGCAAAATGATTGACTGCCAAGTTTTTTGAACATCAAAGCTTTTTTTTTTATATACAGTATATATATAATTTCCCCCAACCAGAAACCCTATTCAATTAACATGCATTTTGAATCTTTTGCCCAATAAGTTGCTTAATGAATTGTGAGGGGCATTGACGGTGAACAAGGCCTCACGTTAATGTCAGAATTAGACATTTCAAATATTGTGTGTGTGTTGTCCGTTTCGAAACGGGCTGAGATAGTGTATGATACGAGTGAGGTCTCCAGTGCTCTTCATGCCCCGTTAATAACCTGGCCTGCTGTGATGTGGCATTGTGGAGTGAGGTGGTTCTTTCTCTGCATCACTTGTGGCATGTAAATCCGGCCAGCATTTTATCTCTTTACCTGCTCAAGGGCAACTGCATTTGCTCTGGCTGCCTGTATATGCACTCAGTTGTAGCGTGAGTTATGAGATGTCACCTACCCGACAGGCCACTCACAAATACTTTGGGAAGAATGTGCTTCTGTTTGCATTTGCTTACCTGTTCATTAGATGTTATTGTTTGTGTTTGTATGACATTCAGTTAATGTAACACTAAATATGAACACTGGTAATGCTCTATTTCTGAAGGGCTTGTAGTACTTGTAACAAGGGCTTATCTAGCTTTAGGCTATATCATACAATTGCATTTTATTTTGCATAAATGTGACCATATCTCTCAGCTGTAATTTTATATCTCTCAATGTGACTTTGTTTGGTAATATGACTATATCTTGCAATTGCATATTTACACCATGCAGTGTTATATTTCTCAATTTCAACATCTTATAATATTGACTGTTTCTTGTGATTTCAACTTTCTCGTAAATACAACTGTTCCTCAATTTTTACTTTGTTTTGCAGTCTCGATTTATATTGTGACATTGTGTGATATTTCTAAATTTCTACTTTGTTTCTCTTATTGTCGACTCTGTTTCTTGTAATTTTGTAACTAACTTTTTGTAACTAAAAAGTTGTAACTGCAACTTTGTTTCTTATAATTGCGACTTTATACATATCTTGCAATTGCATCTTTGTCTCATCATTTTGTCTTTATTTCTCACAGTGTGACTTTATATCGGTTACAATTTTATTTCTCATGAATTTCAGTTTGTTTCTTGTAGTGACTTTATATCTCATCTTTATATCTCACAATTAAATATTTTGTCTTGTGTAAATTTATTTCTTGTAATTTTTACTGTGTTTCTTGTAATAAAATTAACTATTTTCACAGTTATCTGTTTATTTTTATGCTGAGGTGGCAACAGGCTTCCATATACTTGTCTGGTCAAACAAAGCAGTTTGTTTGACCAGAAATACCAAAAATAGTTTTGATTTAGTGTTTATATGTGTGCTATAAATTATAAATATGCAATTACACCTGCTCTAATTTCTGCTCTAATGTGATTGAAACTTAACAGTTAAGCTTTGGATCATTGCCTGTCAATCCTTTTTTTATAATTTTCTTTTTTTTTAAATTGATCGGTTCTGGCCAAAGCATCTCTCATGCAATCACAGAGTGTCAAAACTGCACTGCATTGTGCATTTGGTTGGTTAAAAACACATTTGTTGTCTTGTGCTAACCCAGAGAGAGCATGTCTGATAGCTCTCTTGACCTTAAGATGAATGGCTGCCCAAACCAGTCCCTGCTGCACATTACCATTTAAATGATCCAAGGAGAAGGTTAGGTCAGCTCATTTGATGTTGAAATGCTAACAGAGATCAAAGGAGAGATCTCGCAGTTGCCTATATTTACAGTAGTTGGTCTTGGATTGGTGTGTTCGGTGGCAGAGGTGCAGCGTATTGTCTGTGTGTATGTGTTAGACAAGAGAGTTTTGTAGGAGGGAAGAGCACATTGCCTATTTGTTCTGCTTGGTCCTCGTGGGTAGGTAGCTCATTAAC